CGCCCCTGCACCTCTGGCCTGTACCCCAATTCTGCATGCACAAATAAATAAATCTTTAAAAAAAAATCTGACAGTCAATTCTTATGGTTGTCCAAAAAAAACCCCAAACACACAAACAAAAAAACACAGAAAGAAAAGGGGGTGGTTCAGCACCGTGGACAGCTCCACACAGACTCACATACCTATTGTGCATGGCTTGTTACCACTACACAGCTGAGGCCTCTTCAAAGGGCACTTGGTTCCTTCCTTGGTTAGCCCAAAACTGACTGAGACCACCTTTCAGTCTCATAGTGGCTTTTGGAATGACAAAAATCCTAAGTTATTGGTGTGATTCACTTCCCATTGTAAAAAGTATTCTTTCTCAACCAGAGTTTGGATCTGAAAGCAAAAGTAAGTCATTGGTAGTTCTTGAAGTCCAGCAGAGAAAGACTTCTGTGTTTTCATTGAGCCCAGATGGTTGGACTGCTAAAGTCAGGATAGGGATCGGGAGGTCTAGGTGCTACAAGTAAATTTCTCTATATGGTAACTTTCTCCTCCAGAGATGACAATTTAAATGTTAACACAAGATAAGAGGGTTAAACATGTCCTTAAGCTCTCTATATGCCATTTGTTTTTAATTTTTCTCAGCTTAAATCTTCAGTATGCTTCTTTACATAGAAATTTATGAGGAAATTATATTTCCTTTCAGAGTCTTTCACAAAAAAGGTGTGGATCCCTGAACAAATACCATGTAAGTCAGGTTACAAATGCTTAGTTAACATAATAGTATAGTAATCTTCTCAATCCCTGAATGTACTTTTCCATCCTTTTTTTGTGTATCCAACAGTTCCTTTTTATAAGAATTTTAAATATGCACAAAAGTGAAGGGAATAATAGAATGAACTTCCATATGCTCATCATATAGATTCAACAATTATGATTTATCATGCCTGCTTTACCCATCTTTTTTTCTTAACTTTCTTTTAGATGCAGGAAGAGATAGATCAAGTCAAATCTTAAAACTTACTTCATCTCAAACATGTCTAGTATGTTTCTTTTTTAAAAAATGGATTTTTTTATAAAAGCACAATGCCATCATCATAGTTAACAATGATTTGTGTGTCATCCGATTTCTATTTCATATGCAAATTTCTCCAACAACATAAAAGGTATTTGTATATTTTGATTTTCTTGAATCAAAAGGTTCACACACCATATTGTTAGATCTCTTTAGTACTGGTGAACAGTACTTATTTCCCTTATTTTTTCAAGCTGTTGACTTGTTGAAGGAACTGAATCCAATGATCTATAGATTTTCTACATTTTGGATCTGTCTGTTTATTTCCTCAAAGTTTCATTGTTTCTTTATTCCTAAATTTTCACAATCTGGAAACTCTAAAATATTGGCAAGAATACTTAATGGGTAGTGTCAGGGCCTGTGTACTTCATCTTAAATCACGGAAGTTCTACTCATTCTGATGATCACATTGAATAGTGAATTCAGAGACTATCACCCAAGGGGTGATTACTTCATTAAGAAATTCCCCACAACTCCTCACCTAATAACTCTATCCAGTGATGATCACTTAGGGTTACAAATGGTGATTTTCTAGTCCTGTCATTTCTTGTCCATTTACTAGAGTTCTTCTGTAAGAAAATTTTCCCTCAGGCTATTTGACTACCATAAAATATAGTTTAGAGAGGAAAATCAAAATAAATGATTAATTCTCCCCTTAATTCCAGTTACCCACATAGCTTTTACAGTAGTGAACAAGTTATTACACAGTGTTTATTTTCTAATTCATCTTGCTCTTCTTGCTTCTTTGGAAATGAAAATCCTGGTGAGATGAAGACATGTTTTAATGACAAAATAAATTTAAATGTTTTCTTTTGAGAAATACAAAAGATCTCAGAAATCATCTGTTTTAACCTTCTGACATGGTTCAAGTGAGGAAACAGATCTGGAGCTAATGCAATGTGTCCAGTTTGGTGGGTGTGCTAAGGGTGGTCATCATGTCTTCTAAACTCAAGAGTGTTTTCCTGGGCACGTTAGCATGGATGATTTCATGGAAAGAGTTTTGGGAATGATGATAGCTAGTTCTGTGTTCCAGATCTCTTCTTATTTCTTTTTTTTTAAATTTATTTATTTTTTCTCATCCCATTGCTCACTTTTGTATAGTATTGGATTTCTCCCTGTAGTTCTTCCAGCACCACCATCCCTTGTGCTCTGCCCTCCCTGCTTTGACCCTCTCCCCTCCGTGTGCCTCAGCTCTATGGTCAGCTTACAAGTCTTGTCTTTTTCCTGACCCTTGGTTGTATTCCTCTCTATTCCACAAATAAGTGAAACCATCAATATTTATTTTTTTCCTTTTGACTTACTTCACTTCTTTGTTGTCTTCTCAGCAAAAACCATGACATCAGCCTACCCAGAAGTACCTGTCTCCAGTTACACGATCCCTATCAATCACATCCAGATTTTCCAAAACAAGACAACTGTGTGAACAGTGAGTGCCAAGATGTGGATGAAGCTTCTTTCACTTCAGAAGACTAGAGATAGCCTCTGTTTACCATGGAAGGCATTTTTTGCAGAATCTAATTTGAAAAGAGCATGGGGATGGGAGGAGGCCATGCCAGGATTTCAGAGATGAGGGAGAGGGGTGAAGGGAGAGGAGGCACTCTACCACCGAGCACCAGGGCAACCCAAGCAGCAGGCTTTTTGGTTTTCTTCACCCACACCCCAGGGCACTGGGAATCTATCCTCTTCCTCAGTTCACTGTTTTTCTCTCTCACCACCCTGCCTGGAGCTCAGAAATGTAACTCAGGAATGAACACGCTGCCCTGGTATAGAGCAGGGTGACTCATTCTAGCCACAGAAATGATCTCATAATGACCCACTTTTCCAGCTGATGTCATCACCTTCCACTAACACTCATATACATGCTCACACCCACACACTAAATATTCCCATGGCCTCCCAACTGCCATTATTGCACAATGTCAGAAAGACCATGGTCCCAGCATCAGAGAGGGCTCTGATCCTAATGCACTAAGTCAGAGGCTCTTGGTGTGGCTCTGAGTCCAGAAGCAGCTGTGTCTCCTGGGAATGATGTAGAGATGGAAATTCTTAGACTTTACTGCAAACCTACTGAATCAGAATCTCTGTAGAGGAAAGGAGACCGGAGGACAGCAATCTGTATTTTAACAAGCCTTCTGGGTGATGATGATGCAAGTCCAAGTCTCAGCCTTGGCTACACATTGGAGTCACATGGGCCACTCTACAGACTATTGATGCTTGGGTACCACTCCAAAGATTCTGCTTATCACATCGATATAGTAGAATCGATCTTAATCTTTCTCTCTCTCTCTCTCTCCGATACACACACACACAGTGGGGGTGACGAAGAATGCCTTTCACTAGATAGTCCTCTCTTCTGGACTTGTCTCTACCTTTCTAAGTTCCATTTTAGAATCCTTCAAGGGTTGCTTCAATAGACTGAACACACTGAGGCTTATTAAGCAGTTTAATAAGTTGCAGGAACTATCCCAGAAAGCAGCCAATTTACACACTTACAGGTAGAAGTAGCTCTCATGCAGAAAAGTAGAACTATGTATTGAGTTCAAAAAAATATTGATCAAATAACTTCACTGTTTAACTCAACAGAAGTATTTATAAATGAAAATAGTTGTTTAGCATTCCATTCTCCACTTTAGTAAAGATGTATTTCAAAAAATATGAAGTACTTTTTAAAAATTAGGACTGCCAATGTGTGTGTCCTGCAGATGAGACTTAATATCTACCCCTGCAGTCTGGGTGGCTGGGAGTGTGTGTCTATATTTATATGCCTTTTCATGCTTCTAAGACCCTTGGGGCCAATGACAAGATCTATAGTTGTTGCTTTGGGGCAAATTCTAGAGAAGGGCTTTTGGTGGGGACCATGGGACTGCCCCCCAGTACCCCAAGTAGCATGAGAGGACACATGAGAATAGGCTATCACATGAGTTCCTTGTGGAGTCACCTTGAGATCATATGAGAACAGCAAGTTAATCATCATAACCAATCAGACCTCTGCCCTGGGGCCTTTGGGCTTTCAGGGTTCATGAGGACTTTAAGGGAGAAGAGTATCTGAAACAGAGCTTGGTGTAAAGAACATGTCTCAGCAAATGTGTGTCAATTCATAATTGCAAGCTATGGCTTGGGGGTAACACTATGGAAGGAAGCCCTGCCAACTAGACAGAAATAGCTATGACTTCAATATTAGGCCAGGAGCTGTCAATGTAGCATGTACCTTAAGAAATAGCAACTTTTGATTCTTTCTGTGATAGTTGGGGAGCCAAAGTCCTCAAAATCACAACATACTCATCCAACACACTCAACAACTAGGGCTCATCACTGATGGGCATGGGGGAAACAAAAGCATTAAGTCCCTGCCCCTGCCCCCAAAAGCGCACAGGCTGGTGAAGGAGACACATGTAAACAAGGATGACAACATGGTCAGGATGTGGTCAAAGGAGGTGCAGGATGCTGTGGGCCAAGTAGGGGCACGCTCACCAGAGAACTGGCAGGTGACTTAGGGAAGGCTTCCTGGAGTAGTTGATGCTGGCCAGAACTGGAAGGATAATGGGTGTGAACTAAGTGAACACTGGTGTCAGGAAGTAATAAGATTCAAGCTTCAGCTCTGTGTATTCCAAAAAGGTTGATTTCTTGAGCTCAAGACCCTACTGTGATTCTGACCAAGAGGCCTCTCCCAGGGGAAACATCCCAGTTTCTCAGGGCTCAGAGATGGCTTAATTCCCACCCACAAATTCCCAAGTCAAAGATTCTGCAAAATGAATTATATCCTCTGGGATGAATGAGCCACCAGAGATCATCTAACCCAACCCTTGATTTCATCACCAAGGAGACCGAGACTCAGAGTACAGCTAACTCGTGCGGGCCACACAGCCACTGGCCCAGGGGAGTAGAAGCCTGAAAAGGGAGGGAGAGATGCTCATCTCACATTTGCACGATGTCTTTTACACAGGGATATTTCCTGGCTGGCACTTGAGCTATGTTGACGTGAAGGACAACTCCCGCGATGAGACCTTCCGCTTCCAGTGCGACTGCTGGCTCTCCAAGAGTGAGGGCGACAGGCAGACAGTCCGTGATTTTGCCTGTGCCAACAACGAGATCCGTGATGAGCTGGAGGAGACCAGTAAGTAGGGAGATGGCGGGCCCAGACTAGCTGTGATGCCTGGGCTGAATCTCCAGTTCAATGAGTTAGCACAGGAGGAATGTGGGGAATGATGGTGGGATCAGGTGCCCAGTATTGGGGAGGTATATCAGAAAGCACATGAAGACTGCTTGGTGACTCTGGAATGGCCAAAGATACAGGTACCAGATCTTGGCATGAATCACAGAAACTAATTGGGTAATAGGAAAAGCCACTGGGGACCAGCTGACCTGAAGGCTGGGCTGGGCTGGGCTGGGCTGGGCTGGGCAGATTGGTGCAAAGCTTTCTCTGGTTTGCTTTTATAACATGGGCTCCATCCAATGGGTGCCTGTGACAGCAGCCACCAAATCAAGCCTCCTAGAAACAGAATGTACAAGGGGAGCCGACAGAATGTCCATCGGCTACTTTCTCTTGGGTTCCTTCCTTAAGGGTATTTAAAGGAAAAAGAGTTATTGATCCCTTGCTTAGTGAAATAAGCCAGAAAGAAAAGGAAAAATGCCAAATGGTTTCACTCATAGCAGGAGTATAAAAGACCAGGGGAGAAAATAATAATAGTAATAAACAACTATATACCAGAGACATTTTATGGGGGTGGGCTGGGGAATGGAATAAAAATTGGGGGGGGAAGGGGGCGTAGACAGTCTACTGGACTATGGTGATGACACACAAGTGATTTGGTGATGGGAAGCCCATGGGGATTACAACTGAGATGGAAAAAGGCACAAAATGATGTAAAAATAAACTATTTTTTGATCAATAACTTTATATATATATATATATATATATTTAAAGTTATTGATCCCTAAAGTGGCTGGTCATTAGGGACAAAGGTGGTATTTGCTACAGATGCCAGAGTCATGTTCTAACAAATTTGAAGATTTATCAAAGACAGAGCCCTAAGTTAAGAAAGGATTTTCCAACCCCAGCTCTTAAGGTAACAGCAGAAGCAGTAGGAGATGACTGTCCCCAAATCGCAATGGCTTAACACCACAAAATTGATTACTCACTCATATAATGAACAGTACAGTGTGGGTGTCAGGCAGGAGGTCTCCATGCTATGATTCAGGCTCCCAAGCTTTTTCATCTGTGTCTCTGCTATTTTCAACATGTGACTCCCACATTTCTAGCAGAAGGAATAAGAGCACAGGCAAGACAGACTCCCAATCGGCGAAAGCAGATCAACTCATCTTCTATTGGTGAGATCAAGCCATATGGCTCTTCCTAGATGCAAGGGTACTTGGGAAATGCAGCCCCTGGCAGGGCCGCCCTCGGGGCAGCCACTGTACACCATGGGAGGGAAGCAGGATCTGGGCTGGAACACCACCCAGACATGTCTGCCATGCCACCCAAGCCACCTGATGATGAAACTAGGTGATTCAGGAGGTAATGGGCAGTGACATCTCTGAAGGTGTTCAAAAGAAAAACAAAAGAGCTCAGCACTTATTTGTCAAGTCTAATGTACAGGGACTCCTGCCCTAATTCAGAAGGTGAACTCCCAGCCTCTGTCGTGGCCCTTACTTAGAAGTCACTGCATGCTCCGTTTTCTCTGAGACACTCTGGGTTAGTCATATGGACCTTGGCACCTGGTTTAGACACCCTACACCACTGCAGGCAGCTGGAGGTCAGAGACAGAGTCACCCATGACTGTAGGTAGCTCTCGCCACAGGTTTTAGGACTCAGCATTTGCTTGATTTTCTCAGCGAAGGCAGGACAAGCAATCCTTTCCCATAGAGCCTCAGTCTCATTAGAAGATGGAGCCTAAGCCCCCAATGCAATAACCCCTCACATCCTCCAGGGGAGGGGAGGTTTATGAGGCTTGGTGCATAATCACTGTATGTCCTTCGCAGATTTTCTGCCAAACAACTGCTAAGACCTGAGGGATTTGGGTTGGCAGGGAGATTGTGGGGGAGGTGACACTTGCATTAGCTCCCTAGATGGATGTGTCCAGGTTCAGGAAGGAAAGCAGGGTGCAGAGCCCAGGGGCTGTGGGGACAGACCTGCCTTCACTAGGAGGCTGCAGAGGGCAGAGCAGCTGCCCACAGGGGACTAGAAGCCCGCTGGGCACAGACAGTCACACCTGTGTCTTCTGATGGAGTCTCCCCGCTGGGGAGGCCCTTGGACACAGCTTAAGCCAAACGTCCCAACACTCAGCTCTCATTAGGCAAATACTGAGGACCTTCCACTTACTTACTCCGAGTTCTGTGCACACAGTGATGAGTAAAGCAGAGACTTTACCCATAGGGTGCTGGCCTTCAGTGTCGGTGCCCAGGGCAGCCTCTGGGCACTCACCTTGTGAGAACAAACACGCTCATGCTTGCTTCATGGTTCCATACCAGGATTCTCATCAGATCTTTACCACCCCACGAGCCGCATGGGTGCACATGCATGGCTCTGTTACACAGAGAAGGCAAAGTAAACTCCAGAAAGGGGAAATAGCACAGCAAAGGCTAGTAGAACCCAGATGAAAGAAGCTGGTGTGCCAGATCGGGAGGGGGGCCTCCTGCCTGACACCCACACCCTGGGCTGCATGGGAAGTTTATTTTGCTGAAGCACTTGAGATGTGAACACTTATCTCTCGTTGCAGCTAGTGTTGCTTTAAGAGCGAAAGCTGAAAAATTCACTCTCTACATCAAGCTCTGCCTCTGATGAGTCTTCAAATGTGCCTGCCCTGGCACAAGATGTCTTGTCTCTATGGGGTCTGGCTGGCACTCCAGACAAGTTGACTTCCCAACCTCATTTAGCCTCCTGTTCCCTGCCTTCACCTCCAATTCTTGTTAGCAGTTCCAGAAGCTGCTCCCTACCCTCTGCAAGCATCTGCTTCTGCAGATGATTCCAATGTGCAGCCAAAGCTGAAAAGAAAAAACCATCAGCAATCTTACACAACGCTGCTGTCTGGGTCCACCCAGAGATTCTGCTGGAATCGGGCCAGTCCTGGACAGCAGCCGCACTGCTCATGTGTGCACATCCACACACACCTGGACATGCATATGAACACATACCTGGGGGGGAGGGCAAACAAGATCTGACTCGCTGGACATCCTCCAGCGGGACGGATGTCTCCCTCCCTGCGGCCCTCCCCTTCTCACTCTTCCACTCGGCTTTCCCTCGAAGCCACTGAGGGCTGCATCCTCAGCTTGCCTGTTCCAGCTCCAGCCCAAACACATCCAGTTCAAGGGCCAACTCCCCAGGGACTGAGGCTCGCTGCTTCACCAGGCAGCTCTGTGCAAACCCATCTTCACATTCACATTCTTGAAGTGTCTGTCCTTTGGCAGTCCCGGTGAGGTTAAGCCATCAGGACCTTGGTTGCACCCCAAGATTGCATGAACGCCAACTCTGAGCTGGGCCCAGCAGACATGGAATGTACTGGTTCCCAGGACTTGGAGTCTCAGGTTGGCTTAGACTTGGCTGTCCTCACGGGCTCCCTGGCTTCCATGTACCTCATCCCCTCCCCCTCTCAGCTCTTTCACCACATTAATAGGACAATGGCCACTCACAGCCTTCTAGCTTAAGGGGAAGGATCATCTCCCAAGGGAGATTCTGACCAGCTAGGCCCAGGAGCTCAGCCTCATCCAAACCTCATGGTGAAGAGGGTCCTGGTAGCATGAGATGGGAAGGTGATCTGGAACCTAACTGCCAGATGCCCCAAGAAGCCCAGAGTCCTCCCGGCACTCCTTCACATCTCTCGTGTCCCACAGTTCTGGCTTCAAGACAAACACCTGTTTATCAGCAGATGCTCGTGTGACATCTTGGGCTCCCTCTGTACATCCTGCATGGCATGGCTAGCTTGCTCTGCAGGGCTGCCCAGAGCACGGGCGTGACATCAAGGCTGGTCTGCTCTCCTTGCTCCTGTCCTTCCCGCACCACACCCAGCCCTGAGCTCACAGGAGCTTCACTGGTGGCCCCCCAGGCTGGTGACTTGCACGGTGGCTGCTGATCCCCTCTCCAGCAGGGTTAGTCTTGGGGGGAAAATTGTACTTAGAGCATTCGCATCGTGCTGACTCTCACTCGCCAGGCTGTGGTCTAAGAGCAAAGACCTGGTGAGCTAGGTCTGTGCCCCTGCCCCATGGAGAGGGGGTGCTGCTTCCACTCTGACCCTCCCCCACCTTCTCTACACAGCCTACGAGATCGTCATAGAAACGGGCAATGGAGGTGAAACCAGGGAGAATGTCTGGCTCATCCTGGAGGGCAGGAAGAATCGATCCAAAGAGTTTCTCGTTGAAAATTCTTCCAGACAGCGGGCCTTCAGGAAGTAGGACTGGGGGCCCACAGGGCGATGGTGGTGGGAGGGCCAGTAAGAAAGGGACCCCAGGACCTCCCTGGTGGCACAAAGGGTTAGAACACAGCACTAGGAGGCTGGGCCGCTTCAGCATAAGTTCAGTCCCCGCCTGCCCCGGAGGTGACCCACATGGCGAGGCAGACCTCTCCTGGCCCGCCTGCTGCTCCCCTCAGCAGTGTACTTCGTAGATCTGCCTGTTCTGC